TGGAAAATTCTTTGATACAGGGTAAGAATACCTTGAGTTTGAAACTGTACCAGGTAATAACCAAAAGTGCAAAAGATTGATTTATCTCATTTGCGTTTTGTTAAATGGCCCAGCATCGTGCCCTGTCTCAAAGATTATATCTAAACAGACTCTAAATTACTCAGAAGAATGTTTTAGATCGATAACTAGGAGCAGATCTCTAGTGCCAGTTGAAACATGGTTATAATAACAAAGTCTCCAACCTCTTGAGCAAAAGTTCTTTAAACTACAGTTATTTTCGCATTCACTGTGCATTTTGCATTCTTCTATTTGTACCATCCATCACACATGACTCTAAAGCAGTCAAGCATCTCAGCTGTTTGTCCCTGTGTTGTTAAAGGGTAAAAACACTATTTCTCCACTTGTTTTTCGTTTATGCCTGATTTTCTGGGGACAGTTGGGAATTGGTCATCAGTGCCTACTTAAACTGTGAAAGTAACTAACTTCTCATGTTTTTATTTTCTTCTGTGCCTTTCCTTGAGCCTGAAACCAAAAATGAGGTATAAATTAGTATTCAAGTTTTTTTTTCATGCTGTCATATGAGCTTAATTTCATTTCTCCATATTTGATGGACTAAGTCCTTCACAAGGTATATTTAATTTGAATTAGAAAATCATCAGAAAACTGATGTAAAAGCAGTTTGCCATTATTTTTTTTGAAATTCAACACACCCCCTAAGATAGCTATAGGAACTGGAAAATGGAATGATACAAATAAATTCCTTTTGACTCAGTGACACTGACTTCCACATAGTGATTTTAGTCTTGATTCCCAGTGGGGTCCTTAATTGTACTGACTGAACTCAATACCTATTATAGAGACACAGCCTGAGTTTTGTCCCTGTGTTGTCCGGCTTCTTGATAGGATGTTCAGTATTTCTGGGGCTCATAAACTCTACTAGTTTAAGGTGTTAACATGTTCAAATGCAAATGTGGATGACAAGCCTGGGTTCCTTCTGTCAACCACACAAGGCTACATGGAAACTAGGTGTTGGTATTATTAATTAAAAACAAACAAAAATGAGATGAGGCTCACATTCATCAGTGTTTGATACTTGTTGCCTTGAGAATTGAAGTAACTGCTTAAAAAATTATTTAGCTGTATATGATACATTTCAGAGGATTTTCTTCTGCCTATGTTCCCTGGAGTGGGGTATGGAGTTGTTGAGCCCCTAGGGGTCTTCTAAATTTCTGAAACAGGAATTTAGGAAACAGTGGGACTTTGATTTCCCATTTCTTCCCCCATTCTATCTATTTATTGTCCTAAGGATTTCACTTATAGATGCCTCCCCTCTGGCTAAGAAATAATGTCTAGGTATTGAAATGAGCTAATACCTTAATGAAGCGATGTTAGCTTTCAGTGTTCCATGTTTTTCTCATTATTCATGGATTCTTCACCTGGGTCTGTGAACTTTTTAAAAAAAATAGATAACTATATTTCAGTGTAATGGGTTTCCTTTTTAATCCTAAGTATTTTATTTTATGCATTTAAAACTGTTATTCTGAGGAGGGCTCCATATAAGCTTTATCATACTGCCAAAGAAGTATATAATACTAAAAAAGGTTAAGAACCCTTAATACAAGTGGAGAACCGAGGTAAATACCTAGACAATTCAGGCAAAGAGAAACCCTTGAGAGTGATGAAAAATAATGGTCTGTAGTTTAGAATTACTTAGGTTGACCGCACTGAAGTCTTCCTCCAAAGCTTATTACCTGTCTTCTGTTACTTTATGCCAATGTATTAGCTTTGGCATCTTTCTGTGACACTGTAAGGCTTTTGTACATCCCCAGCGTTCTCATTGTGTTACAACTTATAATCCTAGAAGGCATAGAAGTCTTGGTGTAAATTGATTCGTATAAACTGGATAGTAGAAATTGTTATATTTTGGTATAGTATTTGTTTTGTAAAATTCAGTCCTGAATTTTATATACTGAAATATGCATTTCTTTCATCAGATGCATCATAGGTTCTTGCAGTACACATCCAAGGCATGTTTATGGCCAATGTCCAGGGGCAAGTGATCAATAAATTTTGCTTTTGCTTTTTTTCCTTTTAAATTACACGTGAGGAAACTAGATGGCACTATGGATAGAGCACTGGACCTGGAGTCCACACATCACCATACTTCCAGCCCACCACCACTGGTAGAAAAAGACTACAAATTCCTTAAGGACATGGACTGTAGGATTGGCTCCCTCCCAGAGACTAGTATAATATTCTGCACAGAACTTCACATTTAGTTAATGTTCTATTGTATTAATGTGTGTCATATTGTATTAGGTTTCCTAAACGAAAAACCTCCATTATACTATAGAAAAATAGCAATTTCCTATCAAACTGTAATAATTAGCACCTGCATTGAGTTGTTTTTTCCAGTAATGCTGAGGAATTTGTATAGATCTCCTTATAACCATCCCAACCTGTGGTAACAGTGTGCATTGGTAAGATGTGCCTAAAATAAGAGTATTTCCTTCCTTGTTCCCAAGTCATTATCTTAATGCCTGCCTTTTAGTGGCAGATAGTAAATAAGATTTTTTAAAAACTTTGTTAAAATGTGTTTTTATTTATTGGTTGTTCCAAACATTCAGAAGGATTTAATTCATCTAAGAAATCAGGCAATAAAATGAAAGGAACTCATTCTTCTGTTGGTGAGAGCCTACTTGATTAAATTTGAAACAGCTAGGGATATAAATATTTAAGAAGTTTTATGTGTCATTCTAACTGGAAATACATAGTTGAGGAGAGGGGAGGTAGAGAAGAGAATAAGCCTTTATATTTAAGTGCCTACTATGTGCCAGGTGCTATGCTAAGTTAATGTTTTGCTAATATATTAGCAAAATGCTATTATTGCTAATATTATTTCATTTGATGCTCATAACAACTGTGCAAAGTAGATGCTATTATTATCCCTATAATGTCTTCATTTTCCCTCAGCCACTCCAGTTGGTTTTAACTGCATCAGACGACCCTACCAGGTACCCCATGGTGCCCCCACTTTCAGCTTTCTTTTTTGTATTATCTTCCCCCATTATATTGCAAGTTCCTTGAGAGTAAAGACTTGTTCTTTTATTTGTATCTCCAATGCTTAGCACAGTGCCTGGTTCATAGTAGCTGTTTAACAAAAATTCATTGATGATTGATTATCCCGATTTTACAATTAAAGGAACTGAAGCAAACAGAGGTTAAGAGATTTGCTCAAGATCACACAACTAGCAAGCATCTGAGACTGAATTTGAACTTGTCTTTCTGACTCTGCGCCCTGCCTTATATCCACTGAGCCTCAGCTGCCTCAGGGTTCCTTGAAGAAGAGACAGGAGACAGCCTGTGCCAGCCAAATCAAACCACTGCCACCATCTTTACCACCATTTCTCCATAGACCCTTATGGAGATAGCCCAGGACCCTCAAACCAAATGGCTTGGTAATAGCAATATTTGCAGCCCACCATCCATCACCATCATCCTGGGAGGCAACCCTTTATGAATATGCAGTCTCACAATTCTCCTCTGCTATTGGCTTTGTCAAATGGTTCAGTGTGACAACCCAAAATACTTCAACCTCCCTGAAAATGGCATTAAAGAAGAGGCATCATCATTGCTGCAACACACTAGGGACCATAGGACCTTTCTATCTCACTTTGCAGCTAAAGTCCTCCATATGTTTTGTCTTACCCATTAGAATGTGAGTTTCTTGAGAGCAGGGGTTTTCTTACTTTTTCATTTGTCCAGCATTTAGCACAGTGCTTTGCACTGAGTAATGGCTTAATAAATGTTTTATTAATTTACTCATGCATGTTTATAAGGCAAATAGATAATTTTGCCTAACAGTATAGGAAACCTTTGGTAACACTGAATGGTGCTTCCTTTTTCAGTTTTTAATGCCCACAGTCTAGCCTTTGCTACCCTAATTAGTTACCAGTGATCACCCAGTGGCCACTAACAAATGGTACATAACACTAGAGAGGAATTAAAAACTTCCACTTGACACTTTAACTCTTTTTTGAAATAACGGAATCATCACATAAATAGATTAACAACTTCTGTCAGTCACTTCTTATGCCATCAGGGAATGTGTTATGGAAACTGAGCCAAAGATATAGACATAAGAACTTGTGAGCTCTAATCCCATCTTTGACATGTTGGGACTTATTGAATGATTAAAATCTCTGTTACAGTAACATAGTTTGAGAAATTGATATTTGTGAAGTGATATGTAATTGTATTTTAAGCAAATATTTTTTTAAAAAGGTTTTCTCTAGCAAGGAGGAAAATAGGTATGCCCATATAGCAAACCCACAGTCTCTTTTATTTTTGTTTACATTTTTATTATTATTGATGACACTGCCACAATCTCACATTTTTATTCTGCTTAAAAAAAAAAAACTTTCCAAAGTGCTTTCAAATACAATAGCTCAATTTTCTCATATTTGTGTGTGTTTACGTCACCTTTGCCCCTGCCATCCTAAAGGATGGAAACTAAATGCACTTTAAAATATGGGAATATTGAACTCATTATCTCATTTTATCCTGACAAGAGTCCTCTGTAGAGGGATGACTTGCTGAATTTCATACCAACATATTGATACCTAAATATACTTTTCCATCCCCAACATCTCTACTTAAATGGGGGACGGGAGAGGAAATCCCACAGGACTGTCCAGTAGAGACCAGTCTTCCTCATCTTTTCATTGCAATGATACATTGTCATTGCTTAATTGGGGAAAACTCTACTCATTAGAGTGTTGTACAGTATACATTTCTTTAAATGAAAGGAAAGGATTTTCTTTGGAGAATTATGTAGCACCCCTCAAAATAATTAAATATACCTCAGTTTATTTCAGAAATATACCTCAGTTTATTTCAGGTTACTCGCTCATTTTTTTTCCTAATTACGTAGTTTTCACCCAACGTTTCTACTTTGCTTCTGGAATAACACATAATGCATTGTGTCTTTTGAATTGCAGGTCTTTGATTATGACTTTGGACTACAGGATGATTTTATGGGTTCAGCTTTTTTGGATCTCACATTATTGGAGTTAAAAAGGTACAGTTCTGTTGCGGTCATCTCTGTTACTAAAAACTGTTACAGCAAAATGGTTTCCCCATTACACCAGTAGTTTTGAAATTGAAGCTTCTTGACACCAACCTCTTGATAGAGAAGTGATGGATGCAAGATACAGAATGAGATATATTTACATAACAGCCAATGTAGGCTGTGTATGAAATTGTTTGTGCTTGACTGTCTATTTTTTAAAGGGTTCTGTTCTTCTTTTCTTTTGTTTTTCTCTTTTTTCCCCGATGGAGGGCAGGAGATTTTGATAATGTAACAAATAAAGAAAGAAAAGTGGGCATCCAGGTGACATTTTTTTAATGGAGAGAAAAGAATGGAAAGAAGACTAGATAAGCAGGCTAGTATCAAAAGCTACAAATTGATATATCCATAAAAACAAAAATAAATACATATATACATATAAATATGTATTATATGTATATGTATATACACATGTTATAGAGGCCTGTAGTTTAATGTACAAATCTAATTTTTTTATTGTTTAGCCTAAATGCAAATACCCATTCCATTGACATTTATGTTTGGAATAAGAATAATTTTTTAAAAAGAAAATACTTGTGAATTCTGCTTCAAAAGCTCAGTCTCTCTATGACTGGAACAAAGTTCACAAAAGTTTAGCATAGAAGTCATTGCTAGCTTCCTTATAAGGTCATGTTATACAGAGGATTATCGGTGGTTACATCTGTAAAGTATGTTGGATCTTTCAAAGTGCTTTTGACACTTAAGGACAGTCCTGGAGTTCAGCAGGCAGTGAAGAAGACAGACCTGCTGAGGGACCCAGAGATTAGACACACCTGCTGAGACAGGGAAGCTGGAAAGGCTCAGCACTGAGTGCAAAGAAGAAGTTGGGAAAGATGTGGGTAGAATAATAAGAAAATGGCAACAAGTGATTCATTAAGAACCGTTGGGTTTGGAGTCAGGGGATTCAAAACCTGCTTCTGCCACTTACTACTCATGGACTTACAAGTCATATAACCTCTCTGGGCCTCAGTTTCCTCCTCTGTAAAATGAATAGGTTGGATTAAATGGTCTTTAAGATCTAAGGAAGTCAGTAGTTATTAAGGAGAGTAGCTGAAGGGATACCCAACAAGTAGGACAGAATAACATCAAAGTAGTTCAGTGGTAGCAGTAGTCAGAAGTCAGTGCAGGCAAAGAGGAAGTTTTCTCAATTGAGAATGAGCCACACGGGCTTCATTCCCAAGAGTACTAGCAAGAGCAAAGCCAACTCCTACAAGAACTGGCTTATGGAGAATGACACCAAGACATCATGAGGTCAAGGACTCCAAATCTAAGAATAAGTCAAGGACTTATATTTTCCTTACATAGGAGCCAGATTGGTTCTGGAGAATGTGGCATAATTCTATGTATTGTTAAATGGTCCCAACCAGAGAAATGAATGTACAAAGTGATAAGGTCAGTCGTTAAGTATGTATGGTACATTGGGAAGGATTACTGGATTAAGAGTCAGAAGGTTTGGGTTAAAATCTGCCACTTGCCTGTGTGACTTTGTAGAAATCACTTAACATCTCTTGGCCTCAGTTTCCTCATTTGTATAATGTAGGGATTGGACTAGATAACTTCTGAGGTTTCTCCCAGCTCTGAATACTATTTTATTTAAAAAGAGAGGTTAGATAGACACACAGTTCCTAACTGTGAAGTAAATGAGACTTGAATGTGCTACCTAGAGTGATAGCACCATCTTCTTTAGTTAGTCAACAAATGCTTATTAAGCACTAACTTTCTGGAGATCTTACAGAGACAAGGAAAATCCATGTATGAAATTCTCCAAGGACAGAATCAGAGATCTCTTATATGCCTGGCTATCTGGAATTGCATAATTACAACTTGAGGTGGTCAATAAAAGCAGAAGAATGGACCCTCTGATTCTGAGAGACTTATTCTAGTCGTCAATTCATAATTTTCATCTGCAAAAAAAGTGAACAGGTTTAGTTCATGATACATCATAACCAGATCTATCATATGTATCAACTGGCATTTTGCACTGCTCTAATATACTTAGGTTTATTGTGTACTATAATTATCTTCCATTGATCCAGTGCTCTTACTTGATTGTCAATTCCACAAGAGCAAGAACCACCATTTCTTTTTATTTTAAATCAAGTGTTCCATTTCATTGACATAGAACTCTTTATTGCATTTTGATCAAAAAGATCAATTGTCTGTCTATAGAAATTAAATCTGTGTTAAATCATAACTAAAAGTTCTATTCATATCCAGGAGTTCTGGAAATCATTGCTATCAAATATATAACTGCTGACAACTAATCAATAATCTTCATTTTATTTTAAAGAAGCTTTGAAACTATTTTTCAGTCCTCACAAGATCTATACAAAAGATGGAGATGATAAATGGACAGATAGATAGATAGATAGCTAGAATAAGCATTTATTAAGCACTTACTATGTGCTAGTCATTGTGCTAAGCACTAGGGATACAAATGCAAACAGAAACATAGTCCTGTCCTCAAGCAGCATACATTCTAATGGGGGAAGACAACACACGAAAGGGTAAGGGGTAGGTACCCACTCAAGGGCAAGATGAAGAAATCTGGAGCATCAGAATCATGATGCTGACGATAAGACTGACAAAGTAAGGATTTGTGTGTGAGGTATTAATTAATCATACCCTGGGCCTTAGGTCTTGGTGAACTACATCAACTTCCCAAGGCATCAACTGCTTTTTAGACTAGATTCAGGTGCCCTTCATCTTTGGCCTTAGGGATTTCTCCCTTACTAATTTCTCAGTGTCTTGTTATTCCTAAAATAAGACTTGAGTCACTGATCCCCCTAACCTACCTCTTCCCTGAATTTTCTCTCCTTTCTGATATCCATAAGAATGGCATCATCCATTCCCAGGCTATCAATCGCCATGCCACATTTGTGATTCATTTATGTGTGAGGTTCTTAACTTGGGGTCCACAAACTTTTTTTTAAATTTTGATAACTTTTCCCCAATATAATTGTTTTTCTTTGTAATGCTATGTATTTTGTTTTATGTATTTAAGAACATTATCCTGAGAAAGGGTCAATAGGCTTCACCAGACTCCCAAAGGGATCCATAACACAAATAAGAATCCTGTTCTATTTGGACTAGGCACATTTAGCCCAAATCACTGGCTGTCTAGTTCTCTCCATTCCCCTCCCCCAAACCAAAATAATATAATTAAAGACAATTTTCCTCCCATCTTAAAAAACAAACAAAACAAGTAACTTCACACAGAGTTAACCCCACAAAGAACTACAAGTTAAAAAAACTTTGTAAACCTCCCCTTCATCCCTACCACCCAGTCCCTTTCACAGTGTTCAGATATTTGTGGAATGTTTTGCATTAAATCATCCTAGGTCTAAGATAAGTATTAAATAAATTATTGTTGATGATTGATAATTTTCCCCTCTCTATAAAAAGAAAATGAGTCTTTGAGCTGGTCCTCCTACCTCTTCTATGTTATTTTGCTCTCCTAAAGTCAAACATGTGCACAACCTAAAGCCTGAATTGTCATGTAGCATCTGGCAGCATGTGTAGTAGCTGTCTTCTACTGACTGCTCTTTGCATCATTCTTGGTTGTTTTTTTTAAAATTTATTTAATGTTTGGGTTTTTTCCCCAATTACATATATAAACCATTTTCTTTCTTTTTTTTTGGTCTTTTTTGCTAGGCAATGGGTTTAAGTGACTTGACCAGGGTCACACAGTAAGTGTCAAGTGTCTGAGGCTGAATTTGAACTCAGGTCCTTCTGACTCTAGGGCTCTATCCACTGCTCCACTTCAACATTCATTTTTAAGAATTTTGAGTTCCAAATTCTCTCCCTTCCCTCACCCTCATTGAGAAGGCAAGCAGTTTTATATAGGTTATTCATGTGCTGTCCTTTGCATCGTTCTTAAATCAGCATAAAGGATTATCATAGAGGACACTGGTGTCCACACTCTGCTCCTGGGAGTATTCAGAGACTTTTAGAAAAACTGGGGAGAGCCTAAGTACTGTTTGGGAAGACCTAACTTCAAATCCTCACACTAAGAGGTGGCCTTACTCCTTGCCAAGGCAAATCCCTCTCTACCTGCACAAACAACCCCATTCCATCTCACCATTCTGTCATTTATCTTTAATTTCTCTCTATGTACTTACTTACTCCTTATCTTCCCTAGAGCCTACAAATATAATCATGTCTCTCCTAGCCTCTAAAAGCCCTCACTTGATGCTACCCCCTTCCACCCCATGTCATGCTATGTCCTCTGCCCTTTCTGGCTACTCCTTGAGAAGGTCATCTACATTAGGTGCCTCCGCTTTCTCTCCTTACAATCCTGCTTCTAACATCATGTTTCCACTAAAGCTGATCTCTCCAAAGTTCCATCATTACCCAATCCAGCGGCCTTTTCTCAGTCCTCATTCTCCTTGACCTGTCTGCAGCCTTTGATCCTGTTGATCACTTTCTTCTTGCTATTTTCTTCTCTCTGGGTTTTTAGGACTCTGCTCACTCCTGCTTCTCTCTTCCCTGTTCCTTCTCTGTCTCATTTGCTGGATCCTCACCCAAATCATTCCTTCTGACCACAGGTGTCTTTCAGGGTTCTGTCCTGGGCCCTCTTCTCTTCTCTCTTTATACTACTTCACCTGATCTTATCAGCACCCATGGGTTTAATTATCATCTGTATGCTGACTATTCTTAAACCTACTTACCCAGCCCTAATCTCTCTGCTGACCTTTAATCTTACATCTCAAAATGGATGTCCAGTAGATATCTTAAACTCAGTACATCCAAAATTAAACTCGTTTTCTTTCCCCCTCTACCCTTCCCTCCTCCAAACTTCCACGTTACTGTCAATGGTATCACCAGGCTCCAATTTAGGTGTCATCCTCACCCCCTACATCTAATCTGTGGCTAAGACCTGTTGATTTTCGACATAGACTCCCCCTTCTCTGATTCTGCCCCCATCATAATGCAAGCCGTCACCACTGGAC